GGCCGGCTCTTTTAGGCTAGTATAAATACTGTATATAGAAAAGACAAACAAACAAAAAACACTCAGGTATCTCAAGAAATAATAACGACCATACAAAGTGGACTGATAACAAGGAAATGGCATTTTAAATAAAGGCTGTAGATAGATGGCATGAACAAACTATGCTAACAGGAACACACAAAGAAGAAACACACACACACATACATAAGCTACAGTATTTTCAGTCCTCCCAAACTGTAGCATGTCACTTTGAACCTTCACCTTTAGAAAGGGGTGTTTGAACTGACAAGAAGCTTTGGTTTAGGACTACTGGGAACAAATTTTATTGGCAAAGATAACCTTTAACTTGAAAGGTATATGAAGGCCATGCTACGCTGTTGGTTCATTACAACCATCCCTATGGACCACCATGAACTCAGACAATTTTTTGTGTTCTTATGGATCTTTCATGGGTTATATCGGATGGTCTAATGAAATGATATTGTTTCTATGTTTGGTCACAGGAGCATAGCTGAGTAATGAGAAAGGGAACTTGTAATCAAAATGGAATTACTGTTCGATATTGATGGAATCCACACACCTGCATGTCTCAGTACATATACTGCACTTGCACATATATCATGCGTGCTTGCTCACTTGCACAGCTGTACAGCTAAAAATGAAGATCCCATGCAAATTAAACTACAACCCCTATGGGGTTGCAAGAGTAAAAATATAAAAATAAGAGGAACCAGCAAAGAAAATAAATTATACACAGAGTTGACAGAACAGAATATGAGAAGATTTCAATGAAACATATAAAAACATTGTTTTTGGTTATGACTTGCTATGTTACTGAAGGTTTAATGCCGACCATATAAATAGACAATAAAATGACTAATATAACAAAAAGAAATTATACACAAAAAAATAGGTGAATGATCTTGAGTTTTTTTACAACCCACATCTAAAAGCTTTAAAACCCATCTCTAATGCATGTATTTATTTGTTTTAATTATCCCTAATGCTATGTTAATTCAGTATATGTACATGATGTACAAGATGTTTGAGACACACAAACACGTACACACTCATAAAACCTGCGCATTGTGAGCCATTATCCTCCGCTCTTTGTCACATCTGCTGGCTATTAATCAGCCCCCAGTTAGCTCATCAACAGGCACAAAGAATAGAGGAACAACAGCAGGTAAACATACTGACAGGTGTACACGCATGATCACTACCCGCCTTTCAGAGTATTCCCTATGATTGGAGATTAATGTGCCCATCTGGACCTCATTACAACTTAAAAATGTTGTGGAACTTTTGCTGCAGTTTTTTAGAGATGCACAAATGGGATAGTAAAACTGAGGTACTGTGTGTAGAGGGGAATGGTTATGTGAGAAAAACGTCAAAAAGAAAAGGTCACAGATTTGATGTGGCCATCTGTTAATTGTCATGATAGCAGGGAAGTTAGGTTTAGGATGTGTACAGATGGGCAGCCAAAGTTTTTGTAACACTTTCTCAACCTCTGTCACTGATTATTAAAAAAAAAATGTAACAAATGAATCATGTGAAATACGTCTGCATTACAAAAACAAAACCATTCTGCTAATTACAAGTAAAATGTGCTGTTACTAAGCACATTCACCAGGCTAAAACTGAATGTAGCTGTCCAGATTTCTGCTCTGTTCTTCCAGTAATAATGGTGAAACTAGAGAAATGCATTTCCTGTCGAAAATGCGTGTGGATGCTAATATAAGCTGAAAGATTGTCCTGAAAATGCCTGAAATCAATTGCTGAAACAGCCGAAAGATGAGAAGAAATGGCTGAAGTTCTTTGTTGAAATAGTTGAGAAGAAATGGCTGAAGTTCTTTGTTGAATAATCTGAAGGATGAGATGCAATATAGTAGGAATGGCCTCGAAGAGCTCAACATTTTGATACCTGAATGGCTTTTCTAACTGAAGGTATGCTGAACTTATTAAGATGTGAAAATAGTCCAATAGGACTGTTAGAAATTAACCCAATTCTTTTGTTGGAAGCATGAGAAGTGAGGACAGGAAAGGACTGTTTAAAATCAACAGAAAGTTTACTGAAAGTCTGATCACAGGTAGGTCTTACAGAGCTGGATTCAGAGAGACAGAGCTCCCGCAGGAAAACCAGATTCTGAATCCTGAATTAAGTTTTTACAACACATTTATCTTCTTAGGCTGCTCTGCCCTGGACAGGGGTGCAACCTTCAATAGTTTGTGAGCCTATTGGTCATTTGGTGTGAGTAGGTCAACCCCTGCCTGCGCTTGCTTTCTGATATGTGATCTAGACCAGGTGTGTGTTTGTGTGTGTGTGTGTGTGTGTGTGTGTGTGTGTCTCTGGCACCCTGATCTTGATCTTGAGGTGCACTGACCAATGGGTGGCCTGAATTGCAAATTTTCAAAATAAGGCTAAATATTTCAAAGGTATAAGGTTTACAAAAATCCTGAAAAGACAAAAGTTGAAGTTCAGAAAATGTCTGAAGAGAAGCATGGATGTCCTTGAGGAGCTGAACATTTTGATACCTGAAAGTGTGCTGAGTGTAGAATTTTCCCATTCATTTGAATGGGGCAAAACCTTCAAAATAAAGCTAAATATTTCAAAAGTATGAAATTTAGAAAACCTCTGAATAGAAGCATGAATGTCCTTGAAGAGCTGAACATTTTGAGACCTAAAATAGCTGAAAGTATGCTGAAGTAGAATTTTCATATTCATTTGAATGGGGCAAAACTTTCAAAGTAAAGTTATATATTTCAAAGATATAAGGTTTAGAAAACTTAAGACAAGCATGAAGGTTCTTGAGGAGCTGAACATTTTGAGACCTAAAATAGCTGAAAGTATGCTGAAGTAGAATTTTCCCATTCATTTTGAATGGGGCAAGATTTTCAAAATAAAGCTAAATATTTCAAAAGTATGAAGTTTAGAAAAATTGTGGATAGAAGCTTGAATGTTCTTGAGGAACTGTCAGGTTTGCCCGGCGGCACAATCCTCTCTTCCTTTCCTCACACTAGTCTGCTCCCTTGCACTGATTGCACTATTCGACACACCTGTCCCGCTTCCCTGATTACTCACCAGCTGCGCCTCGTTAATTTTCCTCCTTACTTATACACTGCTCACCGGTCACTCACCTGCCAGTTCGTTCTTTGTCTCTAGGCCCCGTACGTGTTATCATTCTGTTTTTGTTGTGTCAAGTACACCAGTATCTGTGTTCAATGTTTTCTCGAGTCTCATCCTGCCCCGCCGTCTCTGTCGTTCCACCGCTTCCATCGACCTCTCCTCTGGACCCTGGATTCATTCAGCTCTACCAGCCACCGCCTCACAGGTCGATGCACAGTCCCCATTTAACCTGTTGTTTGCGTACTTCTGTGTTCTCAGCCATCATCGCCTCACCTCGACCAGCCCAGGAGTGATCCCTCCGTTCGCAGCCCAGCCCATCATCACCCATCTCCTCATTGACTGTGTTTCTGCTGCCGCTGATCGACACCCGGTCATCTCTCACCATATATAGATCACTCACACTGTAAATAAACCTCACTGCTTGCACCAAAGTCAGCTACCTGGGTCCGTTATTTTTCCGCTCGCTCATTTTGTGTTCGAGCATTCCTAACAGGAGCTGAACATGCTGATACTTGAAATAGCTGAAAGTATGCTGAAGTAGAATTTTCCCATTCATTTAAATGGGGCAAGATTTTTTCAAAATAAAGCTAAATATTTCAAAGGTATGAAGTTTTGAAAAATAATCATACTAAAGTCTTCAGTATGAATAGCTGAAGAGTTGCTTAATAGTTGAAATGGTGGTTTTAGCAGAAGGTATGCTGAAGATATTAAGATGTGAAAATTTTTCCCATTCATTTGAATGGGGCAAAATCTGCTGAAAAAAAGCTAAAGTCTATAAAGAATCTATAAAGAACAGGATAACATAGTGTGCTTTACAGCATCCACACAATTAGGGCATATGCATCCACATTTTAAGCCCTTAATACTGTGACACCCTCAGGCATCCATAATCAATAAAAACAATCAATTTCAGGTTATGACGGACTGTAAATTACCTTAAGCAAAGGCTTAGCAGGGGCTTGTAACTGTGTCAGGGGCTTGTAAAAGTGTCAGGGTGCCAGAGATGAAATAAATGCATGTTTTTGTGTTGTCACAATGACAGCTGTCAGTATGATCTCTTATACACCTATTTTCCACGGTTTCCCTGGTGCTTCCTAAAGTCATAAATTAAGCAGGTGCCACACGCAAAAGCTGATGTTCCTGATGGAACAAAGTGTATCTGCTTCAACTTTGCCCCACTTTGTTGGTCATATGTTTAAATCAATTTTATTATTCTTGGTCTAATGGGCTTAATGGTTAGAATGCAATGTAAATAATGTATGTGTGATAGGTTGATTTGAAAAAGAATGAGAAAAACTAAACGAGATAAAATGAGCCCATTACAGAAAATGCAGTACATTATACAGTCTCAATAAATTTGGCAGTAGCCTAAAAGTTAGAAAAGCACATTTTTGAATAAGTGGTCAGCATTTAAAATGTCTTATTCTGGGAAAAAAATACCGTGTAGGTTAAAAAAAAAAAGCTCCTATCAAGAATTGCTGCCAAAGTGCCCTTTGGCATATAAGGCAGTAATTTGTAGTTGCTTCACTGAAAGATATTCAACTAACTGTGGAGACATGCAAATGTACTGTGAGGATCCCAGGTGTGAATGTGAAACAGGCTGTTGCTAAAAAGAACATGCGTGTCTGAAAAATTGTCCCTAGATAAATGAAATCTCCATAACCTTTATTAAATATGAAAGGTTTCCCTTCACTTTCCACTGACCTGGAAAAAAAGGAATTCAGGTGTTAAGAGTATGATTTGCATCGTTCCATCATAACTTACAACATCATAGATGTCAGCATCCTTCCATGATTACTGAGGTTATTTCCCAATAAAGATTCAAGCCCCAAATTTCTCATTAAAGTGACTTTTTGCTTTATTGCTCCTCCAGGTGAATGGGCGTGACTTCGCCAAGGTCAGTCATGAAGAAGGAGTGGTGGAGGCCATCAGGCGAGATCCCATTGTTGTGCAGGTTCTTCGTCGAACCCCGACCAGAGCTACAGCTGCTGTTGCACATAACTACAGCAGCATGCCACAAGACCTGTGTGTGGTAGACGTCTGCACACAAACAGATATCACGTTTGAGCACATCATGGCACTGGCCAAGCTCCAGCCTGCTACCCCTCCCATCCCTGACATCTGTCCCTTCCTTTTGTCTGACAGGTGAGGACAAACACTGTGCAATTGTAGCCAATGCATTAGCCTTCCAGCTGTCAGCTGAATGGAAATGGTACACACTAAGATGAAATGGACAGGTTGTGCGTCCATCCATCCATCTTCGTCCGCTTTATCCGAGACCGGGTCACGAGGGCAGTAGTCCAAGCAGAGCCTCCTAGACTTCCCTGGTTGTGCGTCATTTGTCTAAACTGTTGTTAATTCTATATTAGAAAATAGTTGTTTTTTATTACATTCCAAATAAACCTGAAGCCTCCCAGTGGGTGTTTTTTTGCTCCCTTTCATTTCATGATAGTTACTGAGCAGTTGTATTATAGTATGTAAACCCCAGAATAGCCAACTATTCATCCCAGTGATATCATTATGCAGCGCCAAACCTGCAAGCAATAATTGCGTCTGTGTGCTACATCCATTTTCTTTAATGGGAGCTTTTGCTGGGCGATTAAAAGCCGGTAGACTGAGAGAGTAGGTATCATGGCACTACGTCCATTCTGTGGCTATTTATAAGGCTTTACTGAGCAGCAAATGAATCAATTTGTCCTATAAAACTACAAATCTGCCAGTCTTAATAAATGATTATAGAGAAGCAGTTATCAGGGTGACATTTTACAGAGGTCATGGCTTTTAAGGGAAGGAATGTTTGATAACTATATTGCCTGTTAAGAGTTTTGTTGCAAAATCTGACAACCAACATTAAGAAATATGCTACATATGTATTAATAAAATGACTGAACTTTAATTTGATGATATGGTATCTGTTTGTTTTGCATCTGACTAGACCCTCTAGTATGCTGAAAAGAAAGGTAGAGGTAGAATAGCTTTAAATGGCTTTTTTTCTGTTTTTTTTTTTTCCTCCAGCTGTCATTCCATCCACACTATGGAACACGAATTTTATGACTGTCCAGAGTACCTGTCCAGCACCCCATTAGAGGGAGAGAGGGCTGAAGAGTATGAATATGAGGTACAGGTTTGCATCACTTAAACTTTTTGCTTTTTAAGCATGCAGTGCTGTGCTAGCACAATACTGTATGTGCATTATAATGTATACTTTTTTCACTTTGGCAAGAATCAGTATCTCATCTATTGGCCAGATTGACATAAATTTGGTACGGATGTTCTCCACTGCCAGGCTTACTGACAGTGATGTCCTGAGTGGTATCTTAAAAGTGACACACACAACTGTTCAGTTTTCAAATCACTGAACTCATGAAGCCAAAAATATGTAACACAAACCTAAAATTTAGAAATAGAAATGATCAGTATTTGTTTGTTATTGTTATTATTATTATTATTATTATTGTATATTTATGTTGAATAGGCTGAAAGTGTTCAGTTGATTCAGTGAGACATGAGGCTACTTGTGTCAGTAATACATACAATATGCACAACAGTACAAAAAAAATTCCTAGCAGAATAAAACAAGAAAATTGTCTGTCTCTTGTGAAAGCAGCCTACTCTCTTTAAATTGTTCTGTGCAGCATAGCAAAGTCCTTGGGTTTAAATCGGAAGGCCTTTTTTCACATAATCATACCAAAAGAAAATCCATCTCTGAAAGACCTTCCTGTTGAATTACCAGTGTACTTTACTCAGGGGTGGTTAGTTTCCCTTTCATCATGGGCTGTACTGAAGTATTGATTTGATTTGATTTGATTTGATTTGATTTATTCTTTTCTTTCAAGTATGTAAAGACAGTTGATATGTCAACACATAATTTTACACATATCCAACAAATGCTAATCCAATATCAATGTGCTTATACCTAGGACATGCTTGAATGGAGTAGGAAGAAGTCAGACTTATCCAGTCCTACCCCATGACATCATCTTACCATTATTGGTTTGCAAGCAGTATCTCTACATAAATAATTCTCTTCTACACCACACAAGTAATATACTAAAGAATTATTACAGAGTGTTAACATTCATACACCACACCCACAATTGTCCATGTAGTTAATCATTAAGCCTGTTCTTGCATATATCTTGATTGACACATACCTTTATATTTATGCTTAAACTTGTCAATTCTATTACTATTTTTTATGTCCACACTTAAATTATTCCATAGTTTTACCCCACTTATGGAAATACAAAATCTTTTTTTGGTTGTACGTATAGCATGAATTTTTAAATTTAACTGACCCCTTAAATTGTATCCCCCTTCCCTTTCATTAAATAGTTTTTGAATTCCACCAGGTAATAAATTGCTCCTGGCTTTATACATAAACACTGCAGTCTTATATCCAACTAAATCAAAAAAGTTTAACAATTTAGACTGTATGAAAGCTCCATTGGTGTGATCCCTATACCCCA